GGTAGCTTTGGCACTGTGTGCAGGTGCCAAGTCCTGTTGGAAAATGAAATCTGCATCTCCATAAAGTTGGTCAGCAGCAGGAAGCATGACGTGCTCTAAAACTTCCTGGTCCTTGGACCTCAGAAAACACAGTGGACCAACACCAGCAGATGACATGGCACCCCAAACCATCACTGACTGTGGAAACTTTACACTGGACTTCAAGCAACGTGGATTCTGTGCCTCTCCTCTCTTCCTCCAGACTCTGGGACCTTGATTTCCAAAGGAAATGCAAAATTTACTTTCATCAGAGAACATAACTTTGGACCACTCAGCAGCAGTCCAGTCCTTTTTGTCTTTAGCCCAGGCGAGATGCTTCTGACGCTGTGTCTTGTTCAAGAGTGGCATGACACAAGGAATGCGACAGCTGAAACCCATGTCTTGCATACGTCTGTGCATGGTGGTTCTTGAAGCACTGACTCCAGCTGCGGTCCACTCTTTGTGAATCTCCCCCACATTTTTGAATGGCTTTTGTTTCACAATCCTCTCGAGGGTGCGGTTATCCTTATTGCTTGTACACTTTTTTCTACCACATCTTTTCCTTCCCTTTGCCTCTCTATTAATGTGCTTGGACACAGAGCTCTGTGAACAGCCAGCCTCTTTAGCAATGACCTTTTGTGTCTTGCCCTCCTTGTGCAAGGTGTCAATGGTCGTCTTTTGGACAGCTGTCAAGTCAGCGGTCTTCCCCATGATTGTGTAGCCTACAGAACTAGACTGAGAGACCATTTAAAGGCCTTTGCAGGTGTCTTCAATATTGAACCTTTTCACAATATTCTAATTTTCTGAGATACTGATTTTGGGGTTTTCATTAGTTGTCAGTTATAATCATCAAAATTAAAAGGAATGAACACTTGAAATATATCAGTCTGTGTGGAATGAATGTATACATTATACAAGTTTCACTTTTTGAATGGAATTACTGAAATAAATCAACTTTTTGATGATATTCTAATTATATGACCAGCACCTGTATAAACAACTGACCTATGATTCCTGTCCCACCTACTCAGTCACTTTTACAGTCCTTGCCAAAGGATGATGTCAAGCAGAGTGCATCTGAAGGCAATGCTGTGCAGCAGTACAACTGAATATTGAAAATTGGATCAGTACTAGATCAATATTGTGTATTAGATGATTCTTAAATCTCTGCACTCCATGGTATCAGGAGTAAACACGTGGTATTAATGTTTGCCTAACCATATTGTTGCCACTGCTAAACACATCCTGTCTCTACTAATCTGTCTCTAAACCATATTGTTGTCTCTAAAGCATGTGACGCACCCAAGACCCCCTGCAGCGAAGCCATCACCCCAGCAGGGAGGAAAAGTCTGCTGACTCTGTCTTCCTTCTCTCTGTGTTTACATCAATCATGCCAAACTCTTGTTTGTTTCAAAGCTTGCTTTATTTTGTGCTGTCAGACGGCAGGCTTCATACAGAGCAGCACAATATACCTCCCAGCATCTGGCTACTGATCAAACAGCTCCAACTATCATCAAGCTGTGCTTTCGTAACTATTAGGCCTACGAGTGAGAAACTCTTGTTAAACAGAGCAGCCAGTTAGATTGAAAATCCTTACATAACCTTAATATCTCTGCACAAGGTCAATAAACTCATCATCGTATTATGCTTTCAATACATCAGCAGACAGCATGTTTCGTGTACCAACACGTCCTCACTCCCATCTCATGAAATACTGCCACCTGGTCAGTGGCCTTCTGCTCAAAATATGCGCTGCGTGTCATTTCTAGACACGCAGGGCTCTGCAGTCAAGTTAGCAACAATAAATAACCTAACTTTCTTAGGTTTAGGTACAAAAAACAACAAACAATTCCTTAGTCTTGGACACAAAAAACGCTTCCTTCGGCTGACGCACAAAAAACACTTGCTTATGCTTAGACACAAAAACACTTCCTTAGGCTTAGACACAAAACACTTCCTTAGGTTTAGGTACAAAAAACACTTCCTTTGGCTTAGACACAAAAGCACTTCCTTAGACTTAGACGCAAAGCCACTTCCTCAGGCTTAGACGCAAAAAACACTTCCTTAGGCTTAGACACAAAAGCACCTCCTTAGGCTTAGACGCAAAACCACTACCTTAGGCTTAGACACAAAAGCTTACTAGCTCTGTGATTGGTCAGCGTCAACAACAGCGTCTTTGTGATTGATAGCATCAACTCGACGTGTAGTTACATTTTTGAGGAGGTGCACGTCAGGCTACGCAGTAGGTGACGTCGTAGGGAAGGGGCCGTCGATTTGACGTAGAAGTATAAATTGCAAAAACCCTAAACTAGGGCCTTTGCACCACTCTGACCCCTAAAAACTGGAGTATCACAATGCAATGAAGTGTAGCAAACTGAAAAACAACAGTGTTATATGACATGTTGAATGCTGTCTTTGGCCACCTTGTCTTGCAGTGCCCTGTTTCCATGTTGGCGTACAGACTTCTTACGTTCACGTAAACCTGGCGCCTAAACGGCACACCTCACTCGCCCATCAAACAATATAAAAATTACATTTGTGCCTTTTTAAGGGCAAAACATTCTTAATTAATAATTCAGTGCAAACACAAGCAAGAAGGTATTACCAAAAATGTACAAGGTCCCTGAAGGTTCAGACGTGTTGTTCAGTTCCTGAAGTGAAAAAAGCCAGCCTATTTGTGTGAACACTAAAGATGTCACCAGGGCTTCAACTGACATGAGGATGTGTTTCTGGCTTTCAGAGGGTGTATGAACGCAGCAGTAGCACAAATAGCAATGGAACATACTGAGGCAGAAACAATATGAAAAGTGGTTATTATGAAAAAGGTCGGAAAGTATTGAAATATGTAACAATTCAGGTTTTAATATGCATATGCAGCATATAACATACTGTTTACAGCAATGTCAAGATTAAGAGAGAGCTTAAGTAAGAGATATTAACAGGATGGTGCTGACAATAACACTTTCCACCACAGGAGCCATTACATACCGATCACCTCTTTGCGAGTGAGGTGAGAAAACTCTACATCTTCCTGATATATTCACTCCACATTCCACATTCTGTCTTTGTGCCTATCCTGCCATTTCCTTTTGGTCAGCCTCTCTGCCTCTCTGTCCTGAATGTGTACTGCGCAGAGCAGTCGCTGGGCCACAAATAATCAACACAGGTCTTTACAGTCTGAAAGAGCAAAAACATCACACTGTAACACTGGACATGTGAGACATTCCATTACTGTGACAGTCTGAGGAAACAGAGCTGCTGCAGCGGAGCTTTCACTGCTCAACAGCAACTACGGAACTCTTATGCATCAAGTTGCATATAATACATGTCCTACAGTGTTGTTGTTGTTGTATGTGTTCAGTCTACTCTGTGCTGCTGTATGCTAAAGTTAACTTTTATGTGATTAGAACATATTGTAAATTACTTTGGTAAGTTATTGTTTTTAGAAGATTAGTTGCAGGCCTTGCAGAGCTTTTTTTGAATACACTGGGAGCTGAATCTTGAAATTCAACTCATTTGTTTTACACATTTAAAGCTGTATTTATCATTTACGGTCGGTGCTTGCATAGAACCTTTCTAGTCTTCTGACCACTCAAAGCTCTTTTACACTATGTTACATTTAGCCATTCACACACTGTTGGCAGAGGCTGAGGTGCCAACTGCTCATTAGAGACAGAAATTAACATTCATACACATTCAAACACAGACGGCACAGCGATCAGGAGCAATCTGGGGTTCAGTATCTTGCCCAAGGTCACTTCAACATGCAGATTGGATCTTCCGATTTGCCGGCTACCTCTACCTCCTGGGCCATAGCCACAGTGTAATCTTACACATGTTTGACCTATGTGGTAGTACAGCTAACGTGTTAACAAACAGCCTATTTATACATCCAGCACAGACGGAGCAACAATAGTATTCAATTGTAGTGGTGTTTCTGGTCACCCAATGAATGTTTCACTCTGTAAAATAGTTGGCTCTTTAGCTACTAAATGCTCCACTATGTTCATCAACTAATGTCAACTTTGTCTATGAAGATTCTCAGTCATCCAGGTCATAGTTATCCAACGAAGGTTAAAATGAAGGGCAACTGGACTTGGTTGAAGCTACTGGAAGACGTTTCGTCCCTTATCCAAAGGACTTCTTCAGTTCTGACTGACTGGCAGGGAAACTCAGCTATTTAAGCTCAGTGGGATCGTTATCCCGGGTCATCGATACCGCTGGTTCGTTAGTGTTCCTTGTTGCTGTGACGACAGTCGTTACAGTCGTTAAGACTACCTGTGGCCGTTCAGTCTTGGCCACAGGTAGTCTTAACGACTGTAACGACTTTGTGTTCTGCTGTTTGGTGTGGGCAGCTCATGAACCACGGGTATGTCGGGACTTCCTTGCTGAGAACAGCTGCCTGCTGCTGTTGAAAACAGGGTGTATAACAGCGGTGAAAATCAACTGAACAGTAAAGTTGTGGGTAATGAAACAGCAGGAGCAGAAGGAAACTCTTCAAAACAAGCCTATGGACTGTTTGCTGAACAGCAGCCACTGAGGTGATAAATACAGCATAATGCTAATGCCAATGCTCCAGCATATATAAAATTTTAAATGATCCCGCAATTTCGAACAAACTTGTATAGCAATGATCATCAGTGGTAATTCATTATGCTTGCAGGCACAGAAGTCATGAGCAAAATGTGTGTGAGTGATTAACTTTAGCATAAATTCATATTAATAAAGCCTGCAATTTAGGAAAGAAGAATAAACATGACTGATGGGTGACTAGGGACGGTTGTTGAATATTAGCATCTGCTATTAACACTGTGATACTTGCATCAGATGTTCTTAGTTTGTCTATGTACACTGTATCTGTCTCTATCTAATAAACCATAAATAAATAAGTTTCTCTCCACCTAATCAATGTTATTTGTTATAATGGACCGTGTCAGCATTCATTGTAACCAAAAATTGGGAAGCAGTGGCACAGCTCTTACCTTGCCAATGTACTGGTGCTCACTGCCTGTGTACTCCTCCTGCAGGAAAAACTGGTTCCACATCCAGCCTCGTCTCACTCGTTTGAGCAGCTTCTCATCTCTGGTCACTGCTTCCATTCCCTCCCCATCTCCTGCTTCTGTCCTCCGTCCATTCAGAGATAAAGCAACCAGAGACAGGCCAAGAAAGAGCCACACAACGCCCAGTAAGATAGTCCTCATTTTTCTGGAGGAGGAGGTGTAGGTTGTACAGGTTACAAATGTTTTTTCTTCCCAGCTGAATCACCTTGACTTGGGAGATGAGTCCATCAGGCGTAGTCTCTCAGGTTTTTACTGACCGGGAAAAAGAGCTGTGGAAGAAGCAGAGGAACAGAAATGAGCACATGGCTGGGCCAAACAGCGCAACACTGAAGTATGTATGCAAATCAATCAAATGTGCCAACACTTGACATAGAAACATCAATTTGTCACGGTCAGTCATGTTTTTTGTTTTCGTTAACGCTTTGAGTTTGGAAGTCCGAAATTTCCACTGGAAAATTCCGACCTCCGCCTGTGACTGAAACACAGCATTAGGGCAGTTTCAATAGTGTACCAGGGACTGTGGGCTGCTTAACCTTAAACAGATCATCAAATTGTTATGTTTATTGCAATTTCAGACAGACCGGAGCAGCTTCAGTGTCTCTTCTACTCTGCAGGAGTGTTAAGTTACCATCAATGAATCTCAACACGCCTTGCACTGAAATACTGCTTTCAAATGCTAATGCACCAAAAGCAACCCAGGAACACGGGAGTCATGGCCTTCAAGTAACATCCTTAAAATCCTTCTGAACGTGAAATACCTGAGTAGGAAGTTTCCAGTTTCAGTGAAAGGAGAACTAGAAATAATAACAGTATTTCTTTTGAGAGGTAAGTATGACATGACTATGTTGATGTACTTATGGAATTAGTGTTGTTGAAATGTATGTTATAATGAATTTATAAAGACAACATGGAGGAAGGTTTGAGATTGCACCAACAGCATTTTAAAGAGTGTCGGTTCTTTTTTGGTCTGACCGTGTCCCCCAATCATCAAAAACACATAAAAAAGGAATCAATAAACTGTCATCTTAATACAATGATTTTTATTGTGCATGTAAAAAATGATACGTGAATATATGGAAGTTCAAACAATGATTACAAAATATGAATAGTAAAATGACAAAATCAGAATAAAGATGAATAGAGATAAACAATTCCCACAAGAGGAATCAGATCAGGAAACAGGGAGGCTCAGTACTGTAATATGATAATAAGTATTTGTAAAACAGGTGAAATTAAAAAGAAAGAGCTCTGTCTCTAATATTGGTCTGTTAAAATAAATAATAAAAAGTAAAAAACCTGCTTCTTGTATCAGAAGGTAAGATCATAATAGAGGACATGGACTATAGACAATGGACTAGCATTTCAGTGCTGTTTCCATCAGTCAGCCATCACTCCATGGATCATTTTATTATTTTATTCATGGATCGTCTTATTTTGGTGAGAACACATGATCACAACATGAAATTACATATGTCATGAGCAGCACTATTTGGACAGCTTTGCATTCGCATGTGGTTGGACAGCATATTCGCAAAACACTATGATTTGATCATTTCACTGATATAGTTCCCGCTGATGACATTAGACAATTCTAAGGTAAATTATATAGTATGCTTCACGCAGTTCCCCAATAGCAAGTACTTTGATGAGCCATCCTATAAAAGTCAAACACACACACAGTTCTGGAGAGTTCTCTAAATCTCCTAAACGGCCACAACAAGCACCCAACAATTTTTACACGCACACAACTGAGCTGAATCTCCTCTTTTATTCCCTGATAACGCTGAATATTCCCATTCACCACAGTTAATTCTCCACAAAGATTTATTTTTGCCTCGCATACTTAAACGCACTCCCACCGCCCAGTCATTAGTACCACACAGAGGAAGATCTTTAACAAAAGTGATGTAGTCAGACCATCATTAACACAACAAAGGCAGGTTTCCACAGAAAAGACCATGAAGAGGCTGTGGCAGCAGCAGACAGAGCATTACTGGAACCTGAGTGAAGATACTGACGAGGTTAAGAAACGAAAGATAAGTGACATGTAATCTTCACAATCTACAGCTACTGAAGGCTACGGCTTTAAAAGGCCTTTTATCAAGATGTGTGTTTACACAATGAAAGGAGTGAATGATTCACGGATGAATGTGCTTTCACTGCTGTAACGTGTAATGATGGAGGTGATATTAAATACCTCCTTTCTGCACAATCTCTTAAAAGCTTATTCTTTACACTTCTGCTGTCCTTCACATCCATCTCTACTTATAAGCTGAGTTTTAAGCCCACTTTCTTTAACCTGCACTACATGATATTTTCCTTATCAGAATCAATAAAGTAATTCTGATTCTGATTCTGATAAGGAAAATATCAACTAGTGCAACTAGTCTTATTGTGTATTGACAATGAATCGCATGACTGTGTGTAATGTGACTGGAGTCGTTTACAGTGATGAAATCACAGAGAAATATCAACAACTTCACCCCTTCATCTCTATGAGTTACATCATAGAGAAAAAAAGAGGTGGGCATGGCCACAATGACTAATGTTTTGGACATATACAGTAGGGGTGTGGAAAATAACTGATTTTTAGATGCATCGCAATGCAAACTTGGACAATTCTGAATCGATTCACAAATGTCAATAACTATTGACAATTGATAATGTAACATTGAAAGAACGAAAAAGGCGGAACTCGGAAATGCATAAGTGCAGCTCCAACAGAAACATGTTCTCCCTGTTCAGCAGAGACAGGCAGCTGTTGAATGAATGATTCCTGCTACTAAACTTTCACATGATCAAAAAAATCAATGCGCAACTCACGTTAATGAGTTTCACCCGCACACGGTGCAGCACAGTAAAGCTTAGATACCGTTCTCTCCTCCATTCTTCAAAGCAGAGCTAACGTTACTTGACAGACAGCAGTAGGTGACGGTGAAAGAGAGCGGAGCGGAGGAAAATATGAGCGCTATGTTTCAGTCTGGCAGTAATTGTACAGTGTAATGTGTGCGTTAATTAAAGTCTAGGGTTAGGGTTAGGGTTAGGCATCTCGTGGTCGGCTTGGAGGGACTAGTTTGCGTCCTTTTTTCCATGTGTAAACCTCATTCACTTACTGGTAAGGTTAGCTAGTTAGTCTGTGTGTTTGAGATCAGTAATTCACTTGAAATATATTTAATTAGTTAAACGGTTTAATTAAGGTTCGGTTTAAATCGTGACTAGTCAACCAGTCGAATTAATAATCAACAGATTAGTCGACTACGAAAATAATCATAAGTTGCTGCCCTAATAGACCCACACACACACACACCCTCACATACAGACATTTAGGTTGTCCCTGGTTGTCACAGGTGGAATTATTCTTTATGCTTTTCATTAAGTTACTTATTTAATTAAGTTTATTATTATTATTCCAGCACTCATGGCTGTGCTGTGTTGTTTATTTATTTTGCTTGACTGTTTCTCCTTTTTATTTCTCCATCAGTTGTTTCTTATATCAGCTGTTTATTGCTGCTGTTCAGCTGGTTGTCTCTTTGTTTTTTGTTTTTGTTTGTTTTTTCTCTGCCCCAAGCCCCCCTCCACGTTCTCTTGCAGGTTTTGTTACTTTCTGCAATTGCTGTTTTCTCTCTGCTATTCCCTGTTGTCCCCACCCCCCATCCCCGTTCTCACGCAGGTGTTGTCCTTTCTCTGTGGTGTCTGTGCGGTGTTTGTGCCCCACATCACAATTTCTGCCTCCCTGTCTGGCCCGGTGACAAATCAATACATATTTAAATAAATAATAAAATAGACAAAGGAGTATATTAATACTTTCTTGTTAAAGTAAAATCTGTGTGGCACAACATGGTATCCAGCTCTATACCAGGCTGCTGGGCAGGACAGGTTTAAAAAAGGAAAAAGGAATAAACAATACTGTTAGGTTTAGGTGTAAGATGAGCATATATATTTAACATTAGCTTTCCTGAGAAGACAATTTCTAGAGATTATTGCTGAGGAGGCCTCAGCAATTAGCAATTCCGATAATTATTGCTGAGGAGGCCTCTGCAATAATTATCAGAATTTTGTCTTGACTGTGGCTTGTAAAAGTGGTTCAGAAAACTGCTTTGAGTGGACAAATACTGAATGATTCAATTAAATACATATTTTGTGATCGCAAGATTACAAATTCCTGAGGAGACTGATTAATGCTTGGTGGTTAAAATAAGTACTGGATCATGTAAATCTATTGATGCATTTGCAGGTTTAAATGTCTAATCATCTAGTCTAACATTTAAATCTTGATTTTCACTGACTTGCTTCTTATTAGGTCAACCTGAAGTTTAAGCCCCATTTATGGAAGATCTCATTCTTTCTCTTTCATCTCATGATAAAGCATTTAAATCTTCAAATGTAGGCTTGTCCTGTTTTTCTTTCCCACCTTTCCTTCATGACTGAGGAGTTTTCAACAGAGGGTGCCCGTACAGATTTACAATCTGTTGGCAGGAAGAGATGGTCATCTCAGTGCTGTTGTGAACTGGTTGCCTGTAGTCTGAAGTTGTGAGGATTATAGCAGCCTTACACCAGTGATTAAGGTACAGTATATACAAATTTTCAACAACACTAGTCCTTCACTACACACAGAGTGGGCAAATCTCATTCCTCTTCATGCATGATTTCATAGAGACAAATTGTCTTGGCTTTAAATAAATATTTCCCTCCAAAAATAAGACTGACCACTCAGTGGTTGTAGCCTTTAAAAAAAAACACTTCCCCAAAACTGCCATTGTGCACTTAAAAACTGAGCTGGATCAATAAATCCATACACATTCACGCTGACGGATCTGGATGGAACGCTAACACAGCAATTACGATGCTGAAAGGAAATGTGCTTTTATCTTCCCGCACAGAGCTCCGTCAGTGTCCTGCTGCAACGAGCACAAGCAATGTTCTTTTTTATCTTAACTACTTTCCATGCAAATGTAACCCATTTGGTTCTGTTTACACGGCATGGCAACACTTTGTTCACACCGGATCAATGGCACATTTTTAGGGTTCAGAGATACTTTTTGGACAATAACAAAAAACTATTTGGGGCTGCTCATCAGGGGAAAAAAGACATGATCATGAACCAACTGATTAAAATGACTTAGGAACTAATCAAGTAATTAGGCTCATTGGCTTACAGAGATTGATGTGAAGGATAATACACCTTATCAGTTCACATTATCAGCACTAGGGTGCAGCCCTGTTATGCAACAGTGGATTTCAGCCATCAGCAGTCACAACATGACTGTGG